TGATAAAAGTACATACCCCCATGGAGAGCACTCCACAACTTCAGGAAACATCTCCATCACCAAAATATGGGCAGAGACAGAGAAACTAATGCAGCACCATAACACAAGGACACAGAAAGCACTATCAAATGATTCTATACATACAACATTGAATGCATTTCCCTAATCATTGCCTTTTTCTTTACCATTTATTCTGGGGTAGAATGATTGATACTCATATTTTGCCTTCTCTGTGGAGAGAAGGGTAATGGCACTATAGGGTCAATTTGAAATTTTATTTTATTTTATTAAATCTGTTTAAAGACTGCTGATTAGCATCGTGCTCTCTGAGTGATCATTGCAATAAAATTACCAATAGGTAACATAACTAAAACAATATAATTAAAATATGCAAGATAAAATAACACATACATACTCAACAACAATAAAACTTAAGTTAGTAAATTAACACTGGTACAAATTGATGTAAAAGTAATCTCAGTGGTGCCAGAAGTGTGCTGGGAAAGGAACCTTTTTTGTCAAGCATCTAAACTCAGCAGAGTTGGCACCTGACAAATCTCTGATGGTAACACATTCCATACTTGGAGTGCCACCACAGGAAAAGTCCTCCTTCTTGCAACACCTCCCTCAATCTCCTTAGGGAGAGTAATTTGTAAGAGGGCCTCTATCGATGACCTTAAATGACAGGCAGGAATATATGGACCAAGGTGCTCCCTAAGATAATGTGGTCCCAAGCCATTTAGGACATTATATGTCATAGGCAAGACCTTGAATTCAGCCTGGCCTGGAACAGGCAGGAAGTGCAGCTGATGAAGGAGAGGTGTAATCAGAACTACTCCTCATCAGCAAAGGGAATGAAGAAATAGTGGGTGCGGAAAACAGTTAAGTATTCCCCCATTTCCCAACACGCTTCTGCACTTTAAATTCTGTGTCTTCCAAAAATGGCATTCAAGTTTTCTGACATATGTTTGGGTGTAATTTTCACCTGGAGAAAGTTTTCACCTGGTGCTTAAAGAAAGAAGAGTTGGTGCCAGCTGTCTATCCCTGAGGAGTGAATTCTAGAGTTTAGGCGCTGTGGCTGAGAATGTCTTCCTCCTGGCCTTTCCCTTTTGATCTCACTAGGGGAGGGCATTTGGACGATGACTTCTGAAGATGATCTAAGTGGACAATTAGGAATATATGGAGAAAGGTGCTTCCTCAGCTACTCTTGTGCCAAGCCATGTTGGGCTTTATAGGTCAAAGACAACAATTTGAATTGGGCCTGAACTGGAACAGGGAGGCAATGCAGCTGATGGACAGCTGACATGATGTTTTCGCCAGCCATTCCTCGTAAGCAACTGCACCACCCTGTTCTGCATTAGTTGCAATGTCCAGAAAGTTTTCAAAGGTACCCCATGTAGAGCGTATCTTAGCACTCCAGGCAAGTGGTTACCAGTGCATAGATCACTCTGGCAAGGCTTTACTCATCCAAGTAGGAATGTAGCTGAGAAAGCAGCTGAAGCTAACTGGAGATGCTCCTGGTCACTGAGTCCACCTGAGAAACCAGGGATAGGTCAGGGTTCAGGAGCATCTCTAAGCTACAAACCTTCTCTTAGGGGGAGTGTAACCCCATCCAGGGTAGGTTGAAAATTTCCTAGCTGGAGTGTGGGAGTGTCCACAACAGGTCCCCCATCTTATTTAGATTCAGTTGCAGTGTATTGGCCTTCATCCAGCCCATTATTGAGGTCAGACACTGGTTCAAGACAGCTACCACCTCACCTGGATCAGATGAGCAACAGCCCACCACTCCGGATGACCTCACCCAGCAGTTTCATGTAGATGTTTAAAAGCATGGTGGACAGAATCAAGCCCTGCAGAACTCTATGACACAGTTGTCATGGCACAGAGTGACAGTCCCCCTGCATGACCATCTGGAACTGGTCAGCCACTAGGAGTAGAGCCATCGCAAATCAGTGCCCTGTACTCCCAACCCAACCAGCCATTCCTGAAGGATACCATGGTTGATGGTATCAAAAGCCACTGAGAGATACAGGAGAATCAACAAGGTTGCACTCCCTCTGTCTCTTTCCCAGCAAAGGTCATCCAACAGGGCAACCGAGGCAGTCTCCAGGTTGACAACCCAATTGAAATGTGTCTAGAGTGGTGTTATCCCAGCTGCCTTTAATGGTCTGGCAACATTTCCTCTCTCAATGAGCCATTAACAGCCTCCTGGACTCCCTGCCTAGATCTCCCAATAAGCCATGATATGCAAAGTCAACGTTATACACAGTTTCCAGAAGACTCTGAACCCTCCCATGTTTCCCCTCTGCTCGTCTTGTCTCGGTTTGGTTCAGTTCAAGTGTTACAAAAGAGAATCCACTAAGAAGGGAAAGATGGAATAGTTGAACATTGTCTTTGGATGGGTCAGGTCATGACAACTCACCTGGAGAAATGCAATACATCTTCTTAGTGCATTGTAGTTGTTGCTAGTCGCAAAGTCGCATCTGACTCATCGTGACCCCATGGACAACACTCCTCTAGGACTTCCTGTCCTCCATCGTCCCTTGGAGTCCACTTAAGCTCACACCAACTTCTTCAGTGACTCCATCTATCCACCTCATCCTCTGTCCTCCTCTTCTTTTGCCATCAATTGTTCCTAACATTAGGGTCTTCTCCAGTGAGTTCTTCCTTCTCTAAGTTTTAGAACATATGTTCCCTAAATAATACACTAGGTTTGATCCAGGATCTGTCTTCTGATTTCCTCCCAGATGTTCTCTACAACCATTGTTTGGGAATCTTCATACACACATCACCATTTATTCCATTCATCAGGATTCCCTGAACATCCAGCTTGTGTGATTGCTGCAGATTGCCATGGATTGTTTAAACATGGCATTTTAAAAAGCCATTTTAAATGGCTGTGGTAGGGGTAGGTGCTTACCATGTTTTACTGTTGTCCAGACTCAGCCAGGGGAGAGTGTTGGTTTGATCAGCAAACTATCAACAACCCATAAACAGTGTTGGGGTTGGTTGTAGTGATCACACAAGCAGGGTCTTTATGTGTCCTTTTCATTGGGTAGGAGTGATTGCTTTGGGAAGGTGGGGACAGGGAGAACAATTCCAATGGCACAGTTTAAATCTAAATACATCCCTGAGAAATGTACTAATCCTAGGAACTGGCTGTGAACTGCCTTGCATATTAAATTGTATTTCAACATGACCCTGTTACAGGCAAGGCTGTTTAGTGCTTGCATACAGAACAGGCTAGATGATTGCTTACTGATGTGCTTGTGCACTTAAATGCATTGATGAGCAATACAAACAAATAAAATGGATGTGATTATGTTTGCACCAATGTATTGTTTAAATACCTATATACCAGGACATAGCAGTGCCTATGTACATTGATAAAATTTCTCACAAAATGTATTGTAAAGGAGTCCACTAACTCTGTCTGTCTGTCTAAACAAGAATGTTTTTTGTTTTGTTTTTCAGCAATGTTTTATGCAATTATACACTGTTGGCAATGAAGGAAAATAGATTCAAGGGATCCACAGGAAATGAATGCTGTAGCAAAGTATGCAGGCAATAATTGTGTGGTTGGTTTTGCAATTCTAGTTAAATTAGGAGCAATTAGAAAGAGCATTCATGGAGCAATATATGAATAAAGAGAGAGAAATCTGCTCATCTCTCATTTTTACTGGACCGTTCCATACAACATTGGGCTAGATCCAGAGGAAAACCAATGAAATCTATGAGAATTGAAATTTCAGTGGGTCAACTTTGATTCTTTCCACTCAGAGAAACCAGGATCTGCTGATGATGGATGTCAATTCAGATATCATAAGGGAGGAATAGACAATTTCATGGCGGAAAATGCATAGCTACTTGCACAATTGCTAGTTTGCTAAATCAAGTATCATTGTTGCTGCTGTTGTTGTTGTTGGGGAAACATATGGCAAGGTATTACAGTCCTGTTTGTGGGCTTCTCACACAGAATAGAATTCAGGACTAGAGAAGTCTTTGGTCTGATTCAGTATGGTTCTTATGTTTTTACAATCCGGAAATCATTATTTCCAATTTTGCTGTTCTTTCCCCCTCTTTAGTATGTAGAAAAAATATCTATATGAATCATATGGCTATAGTTGGTGGCTTTTGTCATCTGGGGACCCAAGCTTGGGAAACATAGGTCCATGCAACCCACATGAATTTGTTTCTGAGTCTCAGCATTAACTTTGTCCCAAAGTAATAATCAAAGGCTGCAACCATTTGAGAATTCAGGCACAATGGAATGGCATGACAGTATTATAGGCAATTTTGAAATGTATTTTATTCATATTTAAAATAATGTGCATTCCATCCTCTATCCCTTAACTGTTTCTATCCCCCTGGGAGGCTTATATTTATACTGAATATAGTTATATACTTATACTAAAAAACATTCAGTGTGTGTGTGTATGCATAAAGACTAGAAACCTTGAAGCAGAGCCAAGCACTTGTTTGAAGCATGTGCCTAACAGAAGAGCCATCATAAGGGGAATGTAGTCTCTCCATAACCAGAGTCCCACCACTGCTGGGTGGGGGGGCTTCTCTGTCCCACAAAGGATACTGCTGAACCCAATAGGCTATGGAGCAAACCTACCAATGGTAAAACTATAAGTGGCCCTGTTCATTTCAGAGGCCTCCTTCAGATATCTCAGATAAGCCTAAACATAGAAACAGAGCGAGTCAGAAGGGACCTCCCGGGCCATCTAGTCTGACCTCTGGCACCAGCCAGCTCCGCTCACGACATGCCCACCATGCTGGGGTGAGGGAAAAGAAGGAAAGTGGCACAGACAAGGCAATGGTGGAAAACACATTTGTTTACACTAAATGCCCTCATGCTGGCAAAAGTGGGAGCCACTCGTCTAAATCCCTGGAAAAAGCATGGTAAGTCATTGTGGCTCAGTCCTTGTAAAAGATAGGCTTGCTTTTTGTTTGTAGCCTTCATCTAAAATACTCTGCCCTTCATTGTTTTCCAGATAATACTCTTAATATTTTGACAAAGCATAATGGATTCAGCCGCCAGAAGCAAGAAGTCTATTTTCTACCCATCATAATCAGTGATAGTGGAAATCCTCCCATGAGCAGCACCAGCACCCTCACCATCAAAGTCTGTGGCTGCAGCAGTGAGGGCATTGCCCAGTCCTGCAATGCTGAAGCTTATGTGCTCCCTATTGGACTCAGCATGGGAGCTTTGATAGCAATTCTAGCCTGCATCATCTTGCTGCTAGGTATGTATTCCTTTGCCTGTTAGAAGTCCTTCCTCGGGGGAAAGGAGCATAGTTCATCTGAAAAGTCCATGCCTTACATGCAGAAGCCCCCCAAGAGTTGTAAAGGTTACTTGACCATGATCCTAGAAAAGTAATGGCAGCCAGAGTAGAAAATACTGGACTAAAGGAGCGAATGGTCCAGTTCAGTGTAAGACAGCTTCATATTTTGCTGGTTCATAAATTACTGGAAGGATAAACACATCTTTCTGGGAGGAAATTCTTTAGTGACAACAAAGGAGCTGAATGGTGTAAACAAAATTCCTATTACCTTTATATGTAAACATGGCTTCACTGAATCTGGGATATCACTTGCACCTAGATATCAACCTGATCACATCATATTCTTGTAGGCCAGCTATTTGCAAGGTGTAACTCAGCAAGACAAACACAGACTGAATCCTGTTCAACTGTGGCCTCCAGATGCTTGACTTTGGAGACTTTGGATGCTTGACTTTGCAAAGACTTCCTGTCTTTGCGAATTAGGCGGGCAGCAGAACAAGAAGACTTAGCAAGCTCTGGTCGAATGACTGCGCATTCTTGGAGGGCTACATGTGGTTTGATAGTCAAACATATAGTACATAGGCAGTACACTAGAGAAATCTGGTGCATTGTCTCAGTGACGATCCGTTGGGTGGAATTACCACGGGAACCAGATGGCCATATGCTTCTTTATTTAAATTTTAAAAACAGTGATGGACTGTTTTGAGAGAGTGGCACTGAGGTACAACATGCTCAGTTCTTTCCCCTGTGCCTGTTTCTCAGTGCAAATGATTCTTACAGGCTTTTCTTAGCTCCATGGATAGAGGGTATGTAGTGTACTCTTCCCCCTTCTTCAGGCCTAGAAGCTTTGGTGGGATAAATCAAGGTAGGAAAGCAAAAAGGACAGTAGTTGCACCCATATTCACTGTAATTGCTCCAATTAAAGTTGGATCCAGTGTCATGTCAAATGACTCAGATCTGTCCTGCTAATGTCATTGTTACTGACATTTCACTGAAAAAAAATTGAAAGTCGGTTTGAGGAATTGTTCTAGTTTGGACAAAAGGAGAAATAAAGGAAACATTCTCTCCTTATTCAACTAATAACAGAAACTGCTAGCAGCAACAACAGTGAAAGACAAGCTCATAAAGATGACAGTTCAGAAAACAGGTTCATAACCTAAAAGTTCTGGGGGGTGCCAAAAAGGTTGAGAGCAGTTTATCTTCTAAAGACACCATTGTAAACTTTTTCTTTCTTCGTAAAATAAATTTAGGATCAAAGAAAATTTAGGGAGCAGTAACCCCACACCTACCTCAGATGGAGGCCCATCTCATAATGCTGCCTATCATATGTGCCAATGCAAAATGTGTTTGCATTTGGAAATGTGTTACACCTGGCACAAGACAACAGACAGATTGCTTCACCAAAATGACCACTCTACTGATTGCTCCTAATTCTTGAATATAATTGCACTTAAATGCCCTTACATGAATGCAAATACTGAATTTTAGCGGTACTTCCAAAGTCTGAGTATCCCTTTTCTCAGCTGAGTGATGATATTTCATCACACGTGGGAGTAGCTGTCAATGGTAGTACATAAAATGAGTTATTGCCCTGCAAATGGGTTGTTAACTGGTCCAATGGCTTGCTTACCACTTTCACACAAATGTGCTTTCAAATTATGACTGTTAGAAATGAGTTTGCGAAGAAGGTAATCACTGAATCATCTCTGTCTTGGCAAAACTATGCACTTCCCCTACCAAACCTTGTAGATCATTAATTCAACAAAAGGAGTTTTATCCACCCATCCAAATCACAGCAGAAAAACAAAATTCATACCTTCTAGAATCAGTACTTCCACGATTGGTTAAACACAAAGTTTCAGCCTGCAAAGGAGGCCTGGGAGGAACCCCCAGATTGCTGTGAACCATGGGCCACAAGTTCTGCACTCTGGCTGAACTGCATCATTCCTCAAAGATTAATATAGTGCAGGATGTAGAGTTTTGTCCTTGGCACACATAGGCCGGCCCTCCTATTTCATTTGAGGAAAAGCAACAACAGTGGCTAAGCAACATGTTTTCATTGGGTGGTGGACCCACTGGCTAGGATCTTGCCTGTGCCAGTGTCTCCAGAGCTCTGCCATACATGAGAGCTTCAGTTAAAAGAAACTTTCTGCCCCAGTTCCGGGTCTTGTCCAATGAAAGACATGACAAGAGTGAGGCAAAGGTGATTAGACCAAAGTGGTATCTAACATCTGAATGGTTATGGCTTGCGCTCTACCAAAGGCTGCTTCTAGAGAGGCTTTTGGTATTTGTTTGCTTTGCACCATTCTCAGTGTACTTAGAATTTGCTTTGCATTTCTGGTGGCATTTTGGAGGTTCACCGATGTTGTTCTTTTTCTTCCTCTCTATTGCTTTGCACCTTCCCCAGCCATGCATGCTTTCTGATCTGGGGAGGAGGGGTTTCATATGAAATAAAGGTAATTTGTGATCATTCATCTGCATTTTGACAAAAGCATGTGGCTGGGAAGTCTGCCGACCAGGATAGAGATGACCCCAAGATGACACTCAGGGTCAAAATAGATTAAATGTTTTGTTCTTGTATTGCTGTAGTGCATACATAGGACCCCAGTGAAAAGCCTAGCATGGGAATGTGGTGTTTAACCTTTTTATCCCTGCTGCAGTCACAGTCTGCCAGTTTATTTATTTATATGCTGTTCCTCTTAGTCAAAGGCTCTCAGAGTGGCTTACATAAACAAGAATAAAACAATGATAAAAAGGACAATTTAAATGATGAATCAATGAAACAATAAAAGTATACAAACATTAAATATAAACCATCATATTGCCAGTAAAACCCCTTAAATAGTCATTTTAAAATAGGAGATAATATATATAAATATTGTCTGGCTACTAAACACTTAACACAGAAACAGCAGCACCAATACACCAATTAAAACCACTCACCATAGTGACTGCGAAATAAAAATGTCTTCAGTTGGTACCTAAAAGAAAGAAGTAACTGAACCAGGAGGAGCTCTTTTGGTAAAAGATTGCAGTAGCTTGGTGCTGTTGCAGAGAAGGCCCTTCTTCTAGCCATCTTTCCCCTCACTTCATTGTGGGGAGGAATCTGGAGGAAGACCTCCATTGGTTTATAGCACCAATAATGATACAGCAAAGGCACCTTCTGCAGCATTGTATGTTTCCAATGTTTTGGCCTGCAACTCTCAGGGTTTTTAACCATTGGTCACACTGCAAAATCTCATTAGTCATTGTGCAGGTTAGATGAGTGCCAGGACCCTTCATTCTATTCATAATTCTTCTCCTCCCCCTCCCCAATACACTGAATGTGAATGGTTCAAGAATGTGGAAGAGTTTTGACATAGCACAAGTTCTTGCCTGTGTCCAATCCAGAACCAGCACTTCATAGGAGAGCCTGTTCTGACCTATCAGTGCACAGCAGTTTCTTGTGCTGGGGTCGCTGCTTCTTAGCAACTTCATTTTGTTTAAAACACTACTACATTTTTTTACCACATAAAATCAAAGCTTCCTTCACCATTCACAACAAATACAACAAACAAACCAACAACCATCTACCCATAATAGAGTAGTGTAGTGCACAACCAAAGTATGTCCTTCTCCTAAAAATGGGTGACGACACAAGGAGACATTCCTTGGGTGGTACCCCACTTTCATTCTTCTTGTTTAAATGTTATAAAAAAGCCTTTGCTGAGAGCTCTTCTCAGAAGCCACCATACAGTGCAGCCCTTTTTCTGAAAATATTTTTAAAGGAACCTTCAAAGTCCTTCAAAGCATCTCCAGTCACTGCCCCAGAAATTCTCACCCTCATGTTCCTTTCTGTAGTGGTAGAGGCAAATCACTCTCCAAAGAAGTTTGTATAAAGTGGAAACATTTGATTGAACTCTGTGTGTGTGTGTGTGTGCACATGTATTAAAACATTTCCAATTATTGTAAAGCATGTTGCTTTCAAAGGCTGTTGATTTTATGATGTTTCCTTTGCAGTCATCGTGGTGCTATTTGTAACATTGAGGAGACATAAAAATGAACCTCTTATTATCAAAGATGATGAAGATGTGAGAGAAAACATAATCCGTTATGATGATGAAGGAGGTGGAGAGGAGGATACAGAAGCATTTGACATTGCAACTTTGCAGAACCCTGATGGAATAAATGGATTTTTGCCCCGCAAGGATATTAAACCTGACCTACAATTTATGCCCAGACAAGGACTGGCACCTGTTCCCAATGGCGTTGATGTTGATGAATTTATCAACGTAAGGCTCCATGAAGCTGACAATGATCCCACAGCTCCTCCATACGATTCCATTCAGATTTATGGATATGAGGGAAGAGGCTCCGTAGCTGGTTCTCTAAGTTCCTTGGAGTCTTCAACCTCAGACTCAGATCAAAATTTTGACTACCTCAGTGAATGGGGGCCCCGTTTTAAAAGACTTGGGGAACTTTACTCAGTGGGTGAAAGTGACAAAGAAACTTGACAGTGGATTACTAACATTTATTTTTTTCCACTCCTGACTTAAACGCTCATGTAATATTCTAGGGCCCCTACTGTTATTTATGACTAATGTGGTTTTTTTGTTTAGGGACAACTTTAGTGCCAGTTCATCTACGAAATCAACTACATTGTAATGTTGAACCAAAAAAACAAAACAAAAAAAAACATAAATTAAAAGTATATGTTAGGAGGTCTCAGTCTTGTGGAGTGTGAAGTTAAGTATGTAGAGTGTCTAGAAGTCTTTGGATATTCTATATTCACATGACCACTCTGAAGATGGGGGTTTGGATATTTGACAGTCTTCAATAATGTGAACGGTAATGAAATGGCGAAAATGTTTTGCTACATAATGGACCTCTATGGATTTTTGCTGATGAAGAGTATCTTTTGACAGTCCATTGAGATGTAATGCTTTGTTTCCACATTGCCAACAAAGATTCCACTACATGCACACACGCACACAGACACACACTCAGAATGTTAAAAGCAATATTTGGTCTTCTAATCTTTGCTATGATGAATTAAGGAGGAAACGCATTGATAAAATTCCTCTTGGCCTCAACTGTGCAGTGACTGTAAGTTGTACATATGGTAATTGTTGGCCGCAAAAACCACAGACTGAATATCATATTTAAATATTGTGTCAAGCCTTAAAATATTCACATGTTCTTAATCCATTCCAGTGACAGGATTCAAAGTCCACCATTGTGCAAATGTTCAAGAGTTGGGGAAGGGACCCTAAGTTCTCTACATTTAAAATGAAGTGGATTATTTTCTTGAAGGATAATTCCTGTCATCTGCTTTATCTTCCATAAGGACAGAGGAAAAATCAGTGAAAGAGGAAGGACTCGTATATGAAGCAAAAGCTGATTTTATTGCTAAATAACAACTTTGTTTAATCCTTTAAAATAAATATTTTATTGATGTCCATTACTGCTTTTATTTATTAAGATTGGTTATTGATAAGAATCTAAGAAAGAAGAACCATATAAATTATACCCATCAATAAAACTTTAGAATGTTTTTGTTCTATGTATGATGAACGTTAAATAAAATGTACATTTTTCAAAACAAATGCACTCAATATTAGCAGTAGAAGGGTTGAATGTGAAAATTATCAGGGTAAAAGGAAATTCCTAGAGGAAACTAATACTTGGCCATGTTATATTTTCTTCATAAATCTAGTAATTGGTGTTTTGATAAAAGCACAAACAGCTGGAAGAAAAACTGGTTCATGTGAATATTAAGAAAAACCCTCTAGAAATTTAAAAATCTGCACATTGTACCATAAAATAAAACTTGTTTATAGTCCACCTTCTTCCTAGAGGAGGATCCTGTGTGTACATAATTTTCCTGCCTATGTTTTAGCCTTTCTTTGCCCCTCCCCGCAGAATATTCATGGGTACGCACAAGGATCTTGCTCACATACAACAGGCTTAGAAGCTGTTGGCATCCTCAGCTTGTAACGCAAACTTACCATTTAGAAGTAGCAAATGTATAATAAAATTAAATATTACATGAAGTATCTTTTTATTTTTTCTTCTTTTTGTTTTGATGATATGTTATTGTTTATTTACTCCATGTATTGTATTCAGAAGACAAAAGCAAAAACAGAACTCCTGTATCGTTTCCTACTTTGTGGAAATATATTTTTATAAATACCTCCTTTGTGACCACTATTTCTTTCAGTTTTAGAGGCATCTTACAGAGATGCAACATCAGACTGTTGAATCTACTGAAAGCTGTCATTTCTTTGAAGCCTTTTTAGTAATCAATGAAGTACTTGGCTCTTGGCCAGCATATGAATTTCCATGTTTATTAAAAGCAAATTGAGTCAATTGCAAATGGAAAAAGGACAAGCTGAGCAGAACTGGTCAATCATGTCTGTATGTCAGTGCATAATGTTATGATTCCTTGCATACCCAACAAATGTGAAACTCAAAAAAAAACAGGAACATTTTGGGAAGGGAGGGAGACACTAAAATATGCATATTTCGACATTTAGTTACTTTCAGTGCATTTCATAAGGCAAGCAAAGTTGTTGATTATCGTGATGGTGATAGTGATGATGCAGAACTGACGTTATATCAAATGAGGTTATTCCAGTTTCATATTCTTGAAAATTTCAAATTTAGGTTTAGAAAGAAAGAATTCCTTGTTTTCCTGTTGAAAATGTTGCTATGTGTGTTAGTATAACTCTGGCATTAATACTTTTAAAAATGCTATAAAATCTGTATCTTGCTGGTGACATCTTTGTTGTTCCAGAGTACTGAAGCTTGGTGATAGGTGAACTGGTACAGTGTAATAGAGTGGGAACTGGCCAAGGGGGACCTAAGTCCCCAAACCGGCCACTGTATAATCACTGAATGTCATCTTTAGTCAGTGTACGAATGAAATGTAATGGGGAGAAGTAACCTGTTCCAGATTCTCAGAGACGCTTACAGACAGTGTGGGAAGAAAATGTTTTCTGAAAACTACCAAGTGCCTCTGTGGAATTTGACCTTCAGTCAAACATGCCATCCCTTGAATTATACCAAGGCTGCAAGCTTATGTACACTTTCATGGAAGAACAGAAGAAGTGACCAGTCTTTCATATATATAGACAGAAAAATGTCCTACAACACACACATGGTAGGCTAGGGAATGCTTGGAATTGTATAGCTTTTCTCTCTTTCTAAAAATGCATTAGACTGTACTATAAATTAAATAGAATTTGCATTTGAGTAAGGATGCATATTATTTACAAACCTGCCCCCCTCCCATTTTTAAGGACACCATCCATGTCTATGGGTAGTCTTCAGAAGGGAAAGGGAACTATTTTTTAACTAGTAGACTTCCTTAATCACAAGTAAATTGCACTCATTTTTGGTTGAAATAAAAGATCCATGCTGCAGGTGGACTGATCATATGAGTATCTGTATGGTGCCTGTGGAGCTAATGCCAGCTCTGCAAGTAATTCCATTCAGGAATATAGCACAGGAATTGTACAGGAACAAAGGGTGACCTTCCCCACTATTCCACTGGAATCATCCTAACACAACATCCTAACACATCCTCTCCCAACTGCACAAAGACTAATGCACCTAATGGTGACTTTCCACCATCTTGTCTAGTTTGACCATTCTACAAAGCCAAATCCAGACATTCTAACACAGAGAGGTATTCCAACTTTGACACATCGCAATCTGTTCCGATTGATTTGTTTGCATCTGAGAAAGAAGAGGTGGACAGGTGGCTCAGCAGTCTCAAGTCTACCTAGCAATGGTTGTCAGGCACAGTATGAGAACTAGTCCACCATGGAAAAGGAAGAAGACATTTCAGAGCTTGGGGTGGGGGAGGCAATTGAGAAGTAGTTTCATGACCAGTCAGACAGGTAGAGAAAGAAGACAATTTAAGAAATGTCCAGCAGTCCCACTGTCTTGCCCTCAAAGAACTCTGAGGGTGGAGTTAGAAACTTTTCTGAAAGGGAGGAACGATGGGATGTTTCAATTTGGATTCAACTTTTCACATGTGCAGATGCTTCTCCCACATTTCAAGGAGAATGCTACAGATTTTTACTCTATCTGGTTCAGTGTTAATAAAATGACTGTACTTCTAAAGTTTCAGCAAAGTCTGCTTGCTTGGGGAGGAAAAGAGGGGTGGAGAGACCTGTTCACAGCATCTAATTTACCAATCACTTAGACTTATGCAAAGTATGATAAGTTAATTGGATTCTTCTATCACCATTCCTATTCATTTACACACATTGAAGAGTGGTAGGGAATCTTCCATCCATGTGTCCCTTGACATTTGAACAAGACACAGAGAAAGCTGGAGAACACATCTTCCCTCTCCAGTTAATGATTCTAGTCTTGTGGGGGATAGATTCCCAAATAGCCCTATTCTGAACTCTACATTCTTGTGAAGTTTTTTAAATGACTTCAGTCTGTAAAAAATAATATGTTGATATGCTAATAACAAATATGTTAATATTCAGCATTTTGGGGCTGATGTTCTCTGTTTTCCTATATCCAAGCTGATCCTGTGTTGGCTCTATGTAGAGTTTGTTTGTTTGTTTATATATTACAAACATTTATATCTTGTCCTTCCGACAAGCACTTAGGATAGGAACATAGAAACAGAGCGAGTCAGAAGGGGTCTCCCGGGCCATCTAGTCTGACCTCCGGCACCAGCTTACATAATATAAAATTACGATAATACAGTAATAAAACCGCAATTATTAAAACAATATAAAACAGGACATCATAAACTAAGAAAAAAGAAAAGGGGGGAAAAGAATAGAAAATGTGACTGTGGGGGAAGCACATTCCATAGTCTGGGCACCACTGCAGAGAAGGCTCTCCTCCAGGTAGACACCCTCCGTACTTCCGTTTCTGGTGGGTGATTTTTTTTGTGGGGGGAGCACATTCTTTTTCCAAATTGAATACATTTTTCAACACATCCATTAACTGGTTAAAGCACATTGTATGATATTTATTTATTTATTGCATTTATATACCACCCCAACAGCCCAGAGGGCTCTCTGCGTGGTTTACAAACATTAAAACCCCAACAATCCTAAACAAATAAATAAATTTTTGAAATGTACACATCTTTTATTTTCTTTCCTTTTCAGATGAGCATGTTTTATCAGAAACATTTTCCTATTCAGTGGAAGGCATTGCAGGCCCAGAAAGGTGTGGTTTTCAATGCACACTAACAAATGCGTCTGGTTTACATCCATCTCTGATTGATGTCAAATAGAGAAATCCGGGGGGGAAAGCTGCAGAGTGCTAACAATATTTTAACAAGCTTCTGAAGGTTTTAATCAAATTAATGAAGTCTTATGAACACTGAAATTGAATTCACAAGGTCCAAAATTTTTCTTTCCCATCCCCCCACACCCAAATCAGAAGCTAAATGAGGGCTTAATCTAAAGAAAGGAAATTTACATTCTTTAATGATTCAGAATGAAGCTGAATGAACACATTTCACTGCAGATTT